TCTCTCTCTCTCTCTCTCTCTCTCTCTCTCTCTCTCGCTCTCTCTCTCTCTCTCTCGTACACACCCGCACACACCCGCGATGTTCTCACGTGCGCGGACCCTCTCTCTCTCGGTCACTCGCTCGCTCTCACACACACAGACAATGCTTCCAGTTTCCCGGCACGTCGGTCCCCGGTTGCCCATGCAGTTCCTCCCAACAACCAATTCGAGAGCGCGCCGAAACGAAAATTAGGGCCAGATTCGAACGTGCAGCAAAACGAAAATTGGCGCGGCTCCTCCCAACAGCCGATTCGAGTGCACGCTGAATCGAAAATTAGGGTCAGATTCGAACGCGCAGATAAAAGAAAATTGGCGGCCTCACAAAGAAAATGAGATGTCTCTGCACATCACGGCGCTATGTACTTGTATTCGAACATGCGCCCGGCGAATTGGAAACCACAACAACTCTTCATTTTGTTGGGCCCTCCCCTTGTCCCGGTGGCTTTCCCAACACCAGAAGACAAGTCTGCGTAGGAGTGTCACGTGAGACCCGCTATTTGTCTTAAGAGTATTAAGGAAGTTGTTCTGTCCTATGTAACTTACGCAATCGGGCGCTGAACGTGTGGGGTGTTGAATACATCCACATTCAAACACATTTGTTTGCACTTGCAAATGCAATGCAGGTGTATCGTTTCAACCTACGTCCAAGGCCGCGCACTTCTTGATTCAGACTTTTCCACTTTTCCACCCTGTCGGTACTTTGTCACCATTTCGACCAAAACCCAGCGCGCGGTCCCACGTGCAGCTACCAGTCCCACATTTTTCAAAGAAAATGCCACCCCCCCCCAAAGATCCACCCTGCCGCTGCTTTGCCACCGTTTGAAACAAAACACAGCGCGCGGTCCCACTGGCAACTACCGGTGCCGCATTTTTTAAAGAAACTGCCACCCCCGCCCCCAAAGTGTCGTGCCTACACCTGCTTGCATTTTTTGAACCTTCCAACGACCAAGCGAGATCGAATCAACAACAAATGGTATAACGAAGGACGATTCAAATGTCTCAAGGGGGAAATGTCTCAGGGGCAGAAAACGCACCCCTGACGGGCTGCGAACAAATTTGCCAATGTCCTAAATGTATCATTCCTGTGCCCATTGGTCAGCGACCTGTGTACCCTTGGGGCAAGGGGATTTGTGGTCACCTCGGGAGGTGACCGCAAATGCTCTATATATTTTTGGAAACGTTTTTCGAAATGCCCTTGAAGTTTTGACTGTTTTGGGATTTGCTCCTCTGACGACCGACTTACCCTGATTTGCCCTTCTGGTAGTAATTCAAGTTTCCAAAAAACCCTGACATCGTTTCGGCCTGAGACTATTTCAATATGCCCTACCGTTACTCGTGCCAATTTTCAGTTTACCCCTACCGGATACTCGTTCAGTACATGCACAAAAATTTGTCATATGCCCCTACTGGTACCCTGCATCTTTTCGGTGTGCCGTTCTGGCCATTGCTGGCAGTAGCAGTTGTTCCCCTAGGCTTGTGAGGGGTGCTACTACGGCACCTTTTTTTTTGTGGGG